CCTTCTTTTAAACTGGGAAAGTGTTAAATATATTTTGTAATTTCCTTATTTTTACCAGACTGTAATAAAATTCCATACATTATCCGTAAATGTCCCACTGTATATCTTAGCTGAAAGTGGACTAATGGTGGTCACCTTTGAATTAAGGCTGTTGCCACCTGTTCATAGGAGAAAATATGCTCTTGTTCAAGCCAACAACTAATGTTTAACAGGTTATTCCAAATAGTCAGGTCAATAGTTTGCTATACTTGGTTATTGGTCATTTTTTTAAATTGTGGTTAACCGAGACAGAGTTTGAGTAAATTTTTGCAAACAATTGCTCTAAAACAAGATTGCAAACAAGCAAGGTGATAATGGGCAACCTTGATGTGCTCCTTGTTGCACATAAATAGATGTAGATAAATGATTATTGATAAACACTTTGACAATAGGTCTTTGGTATAATAAATCTATTCAAGTTTTGAACTTTCCTCCCATATTAGTTTACTGTAAAACTCTTTGTAGGAAAAGCCAGTCTACTCCATCAAAAGCCTTTTTTTGTGCCTAAAAAACCCTGGAATATTGATGTTTGTGATTGCATGGTCAATTTGTTTTTTGACATTATGCTGTAATTTCCTGTTTTATTAACCTGTTTGATCCTGTTTTACATATTTGTAGAGTATGTTGTTTATTTGCTTTGCAATTAGGAAGGACCCTATTTTAACAACTTGATTTAGCAGAGAAATCAGTCTGTATGGCTGAGGTACCATAGGATCTTTGTTATGTTTTGGTATAACTTTCACTATTGCTTCAGACCACGACCTTGGTAGTAATTGTTAAGTGCAAATACAGTGGTACCTCTGATTGTGAACGGGATCCGTTCCTGAGCCCCGTTCGCAACATGAGCAGAACGCAACCCGCAGTGGCGTGTCTGAGCATGCGCGAGCGGCGAAACCTGGAAGTAACCCTTCCTGAAAAAATGTATCATGAAGCAAACGTAACATGAGGTATGACTATCATTTTTCTATAGTACTATATGATTTATACAAACAATTTGTATAATTCACTGGCATCTATGTTTATATCTGTGTTCTTAATTTTGGGCGTGTGGTAATATTAGTTCTTGTTGTATTTATGCAGCTACTTTGTATCTTTTATCGTATATTTACATATATTTTTTGTTTACTGTAAACCACAGAGAGACCTTTGTTATGGGACAGCATACAAATGACAGAAACAAGCAACTAATAAATCACCTGTTGCACTGCAGCCCTGTAGCCAGGAGGAGGCAAATAGGCGTATTGTTGCCCTCCACCCTCAAAAAAGAGTGAGACAATTCAACAGATTAAACTTAATTTATACCCAAAGAACAGTGAGGGCCATAATTTCCGACAAGGATGGTTCCAGAAATATGAATGGTTATGGAGTATTATCTATCAGCTAATGTATGGTATAGCTTTCTGCTATGCTTGCTGAAAACTCCAACCAAATATGTTAAAACAATGTGTCTTAATTTAAGAGGTCTGAAGGACTGGAAAAAAGCACTTGGAAGTATTTTAGCAATGTCTATGCAGCACGAAAAAGAACACTTTGGTATCCCCCTGTTAACTGCATCCTTAACATTGTTTTCCTTCTGAAACAAAAATACGCCATCGAAATAATAATAAGAAGAAGAAGAAAGAAGAAGAAGTCCGGTAGCACCTTACAGACCAACTAAGTTTGTTCTGGTATAAGCTTTCGTGTCTGTATGCTGCTACTGGACAATTATTATTTTTTATTTTGACTGTGTCAGGCCAACACAGCTACCTACCTGAATCTAAAAACATGCCGGTCATTTAATTCCTGGTGTTCATACTAAATTTTATTTTAACCTAACCTCCGGGCACACTCCAGGCCCAGCCCTCCCATACTTTCCAACAGTGAGCGCGGGGACTGTCTAGCACTATGCCCCTGCTCTCAAATTCCCCATCTAGAAATATGGCTGCCCAAGTTAACAAAGGTTGACTACAGGGCGGCTGCACAGGCCCTGCTTTAGGGCCCAATTCTGTAGCGCTGGATTTAATCTAAACAGCAATAGGGCCAGATTACCTGAAAAATCACCTCCTCTCACATCTCTCTCTCCAAACCTTAAGAGAGAAGTGAAGAGAGGGAGGTGGCTGCAAAGGAGCAGACCTTCTCAGTACTGGTACCGTTATGAAATCACTTTCCAAGGGAAGCTCACCTGACGTCTTCTTATACCCACAGAGGCCTTCCTTGGACCTGCAGAGTGTTCCCTCCCTGCTTAAATTAGACTTGAAAGAAGCATTTATTGCTGCCCATAGAAAAGATTGTGGTGTGTGCTTGATATCCACAATGGTTTCTCTGGGTTGCAAATGTGCCCACAGGCCCCAAAAGGTTGGTGACCCCCGTGGTAACTATCCCATTTACTTCCACCAGTCAGCTCCTCCACTGCACTTTTCAAAAAATCAGAGGGGGTGTGAGGAGAGATCTCTCAATGAAAACTTTTTTTCTTTTTGCTGGCATCTTTCCATCTCATTCATCCTGAACTGCTGTGTGCTGCTGTTTTGTAACTCCGATATTGGTTGTCTTGTAGTTTTATTTTAGGATCTAAACATTGTGCACTGTATTCCTTTTAAATTGTAATTTTTTTGTAACCCACCCTGCGACTCTGTGGTGAAGAGTGGGCTAAAAGTATGTACAAAAAATAAGGGAAATAAAAAAAATCTGTGAAAAGGAGATCAAGAACACAGTGGTACATTTAAGTTGCATATACACAATAAATTTAAAGTATTTCCCTCCCATCTAAGAACCATCCCTCTTAAAATATAGTTCCCATAATTCTTTTTTTTGGGGGGGGCGTCAGGGGAGAATGTGCTTTAAATGTATTATGTGGATGCAGCCTTAAAGAGCTCTTCTAAGCCATGGTATAAGAGCAACATTATGATTTGCTGGGGGGGAAAACCCAAGCAGCTTTATTTGAAGATGCCAAGTCCACTCTTCATGGATTCAGAAAGAAAGAGAGGAACTCAAGTTTACCCTGAAGTTTATACCTTCAGTATACCCTGAAGATTGATTCCTTCACTGCTGGAAAGAGTACTGAGAGAAACCACAATTGCTTGGAGTCCTGAGGCTTCATCACCGATGGCTGGGATAGGCGATAATGTAAATATAACCACATAAAATTAAGAGGAACAATAGCTATAACTGGTGAAGTGGGGGACAGCTGATTCTGAACTTTGAGTATGGAAATGCCTGCCTGCTTTTTGAAGCGCAATGACTCTTGAGCATATCAGGATAGAAATTCTGCCTCAATTGTCTGCAATATTTGTATTTTAGCTCTTCAGACTACACGTATTTTAAATTAATGTGAAAATAATCTGCATCTCGTCTGCAGTAACTTCAGTGATGCGCAGCTGAGAGTTAGTTAAGTAGCCTTCAAGTGTTCTAATGCTGTCCCAAACTAAAATGAGGTTCAACTAAAAAGCCACAGACATCTCCTAGGATTCCACCCGGTTGGAAGATTCAGAAAAGACAAAAGAAAGTACATTGTAAAACTATGGAATTCGTTCCCACAGTGATGACCAACTTCGATGGTTTTAAAAGATTAGCCAAATTCATGGGTCAGGCTACCAAAGACTACTTGCCGCAATGGCTCTGTAGCTGGGGATCATGAGAGAGTGCAGGTCCTGCTTTCAGACTTCACGTCTGGTCCTGCTTTCAGACTTCACGTAGGGATCGAGGTGGCCATTGTGAGAAAAGGATGCTAGACTAGATGAACCATTGGCCTGATCCAGCAGGCTGTTCTTATGTACCATCATTATTACATGCAGAAGAAACATTAAAAAAGTCTATCTCCATCCCCCCAATCCTGCTGCCATTGTCTACTACCTATAACACAGGGGTGGCCAACTCCCAAGAGACTGTGATCTACTCAGAATTAAAAACTAGGGTTGAGTTGTTGAGGTTTTTTTAGGGGGAGCCAGTGATCTACCAGTGATCTACCACAGATGTCCAATGATCTACCAGTAGATCACGATCTATCTACCTGTTGGAAATGCCTGCTATAACACACACATGCATTTTCCACCTGGTTCTGAATCCCAGGAGTGCAAAATAATGCAACTATTAAGAAAATTATGTGCAGTATAATAATAATATGCCACAGGAAAAAGCATGCTTCAGTGTTGCTCACTCAAAATGGCCTTCAGTGGTTTTTTAAAGGAATTTTAATTTCCTGAAATTAGTAATTCTCTGAAATTAAGATTTTCAAGCCTAGTATTTATCAAAATGTGCCCTCATCTAACCTACATTAATGTTCCTATGGAAAGTAACCTGGAAAGAAATTGCTCAAAGTAACAAATGGAATCCTCTTTCGCAGGAACATGTGAAAAAGCTAAGAACATTCCTCTTGTGTTCAGTATCTGTTAGATCAGTTTCTACAGTTTACAGTTGCAGTGGGGACACCATCCAAAGATGGACTGAAATCTTCCCCTGCTACTCTCTCTGCATCTCTCGCACATGTTCAGATAGGATACTATTTGCTTTTTATTCCTGCTAGCTGGGCTGCACTTACTCCCCAAAACAGTTTTGGGTCAGGGAGAAGTCACACACCTCACAGCTCTTAAAAGACAGAAACAGCCAGCCACCAGAAGGAGACATGCTTCTTAGAGTGGGGGCATGGGAATGTGGAGCTTTCACTGGCTCCTTCCACTGTGTCACCAGCCATTCTGTAGCTCCGTCTAGGAGCAAACGCAGCAGAAAATGTTGGTATTTGCTTCCATTTAAGTATCTATAGCTGGAATAGGAAACTTGTGGTTCTCCATATGTTGCTAGACTGTAAACCCCTTATCCCTGACAACTGGCCTCGCTAGCTGTCACATCTGGAGGACTACAGGAGCAATCTGTAGGATCAAGCTAATTTTTTTCTTGAAATTATTTTCAAACGTGACATTTGAGGAGCTCTATTATATGTGGAGCATATTAAGTTACACATGTGTACAAAGGAAAGCCAACCCACTCACCACTACTTCTTCCTCCTTATGTTCTCTTTTGTCTTCCTCTTCATCACTCCCAGGCTCACCGCCATCTTCTTCATCACTGCTGGAGGATTCCAAGATTTCCCGCATATCCATCTTCCAATTCGAAGGTATAACTTTCAGACTGAAGAAGGAGCTCGCCTCTTGTAACCCTTCGGAGGAAAACGTCCCGTGCTTACTCATTCAAGGTACTAAGAATCAAAACTGCATTATTACCAATTGGCGCTATCCTTGCTCCTTTTTCAGCCATACGTTAAGGTCACAAATTCAATATTGGGTTATCAAGAGGAAGGTGAGAAACTAATGCCAAAATAAAATAATAAATAAAGGGGCACTTCCAAGGGGCATATACCAAATTAATCTGAAGAAATGATTACCTTTCTAACATCTACTAGTAGCATAGAATTCACAACCTTCATTTATGTGTAAATTCTTCAGTTCCTACAATGTGGAATGCTTAACCCTCAGCATTCCTTTAATCATCTTGATGTTTACAAGGCCACACCATAATGCGGGTTTATGCTTATTGCAGACTAGAAGAACATATTCCACACCATATAAAGCTGCCTCAAATGAAGATTGACTATTGGTTCAGTAATGCTGATTCTGAATCGCAGCATTCCTCCATGTTTTGGGGTGCAGATCTTTTCAAGGCCCAAAATGAAGATTCTTTCAACTGGAGATACTAGAGATTGAATTTAGGATTTTCTACATGCAACAAGTGAGCTCTGCCACTAAGCCATAGCCTTCCTAACCAGATGGAATCAACTCTCCGCTGACTTTCCCCCTCCAAGAGCAGGATTTGTTCTCCCCGCATCACACATCAACTAAAATGTGGGAATAGTTACATCAATATTTGACAAAGTAGCCCTGGACCTCAAAGCTAATACTAGAATAAATATTTGTCCTTGGCAGTGGCGTAGTGTGGGTTGTCAGCACCCGGGGCAAGGCAAGCAATTTGCGCCCCCTAACCCCCAGATGTTGCGCCCGGTGCGGCCGGCACCCCCCACGCTACGCCACTGGTCCTTGGAGTTCCAAAAGCCTGTCATGTTCTTTAGAGCATCCTATTAATTGTGTCACTGTACAAACTTGGCTCGCATGCATATAGATACACACATCTCTGCCCTATAAGCCCCTACAGTATTTTTACACTTCTATCTGATTTCACTCATAACATGCCGCTTTCAATATATGACATCCAAGATGTCAATACACCCTAAGCCTAGGCATTTGTTTACCAGGGTATCTACTGGTAATACTAGCCTAACATCTTAAATAATGCTCACCTTCTGCAAAGAGTCAAACTAATAGTATCCCACTATAACGTTCATTATCCTAGAAGTATAATGCTCTGAAATTGCAAATCAAGTACCTGTGATAACCAGAAAATTGTACAGTGGTACCTTGGTTCTTGAACGCAATCCATTCTGAAAGACTGTTCAAGTTCCGAAACGTTTGAAAACTGAGGCGCAAAGGGCTGTTTGCAAATTCAGCTGAGAAAATTGAAAAACACACAGTGGAAGCCGTTCGACTTATGAGGCACGTTCGAAAACGGAAGCATTTACTTCCAGGTTTTCAGTGTTCGGGTTCCGAAATGTTCGTCAATGGAGACGTTCGAGAACCAAGGTACCACTGTATATTGCTTTTCAGGGAAGATTCCTTTAGAAAATCTACTGCAAGAATGGCCACATTCCTGCATTTTCCTTTTCAGCTGTTTCAGTGTGGGCTGGAAACAGAAATATATGCAGCCTAACTCTTATGGCCAGATTTATGGGCTCTGCTGCTCACACCCAGGTGTGCCACAAATCCTTGACTCTTGGGACACTTCTCCTGCACACTGGCCACCAAATAGTCACATGGACATTTCCATTCTTTTAGGAATTCTACTCCTTGCAATCTATATGAACTGCCTACAACACTTATGTGCTTCATTATCCTGAATAGAACCTAACTACAGATTAGATGCAAACACTTTTTAATAAAACAGACATGGCCCATTATCAAGAAAAGCAGCTGTGAGTGGGGACAGATAAGCAGGGTCAGGTGGGAGGAGCTTTTCACTGGATATCATTTTTCAGCTGCAACTATCCTTTTTGTTCTCACAACACACATGCTTCCTGACATCCGTTTCCCCCTTGCCAACACACCAGAGAAAGGCTGCTGGGCAAGGGGAATAAAAAGGGGAAAGTAGCAAGTGGAGAAAGTATTGAGCACCTGCCCCTCACTGCTTCAACCCTTCAGATGTCTCCCTACCCAGGCTGCTTTTCATGTCAGAAATTGTCCGTTAGGGTACACATGTTTGTATGTCATTAAACCCATAGGGACGTGGCTGGCGCTGTGGTGTAAACCACTGAGCCTTGGGCTTGCCGATCGGAAGGTCGGCGGTTCGAATCCCCGTGACGGGGTGAGCTCCCGTTGCTCGGTCCCAGCTCCTGCCAACCTAGCAGTTCGAAAGCACGTCCAAGTGCAAGTAGATCAATAGGAAGGTAAACGGCGTTTCCGTGCACTGCTCTGGTTTCGCCAGAAGCGGCTTAGTCATGCTGTGTCTGCACACAAACACCGGCTCCCTCGGCTTATAGAGCGAGATGAGCACTGCAACCCCAGAGTCGTTCGTGACTGGACTTAACTGTCAGGGGTCCTTTACCTTTACCTTTAAACCCATAATCAATAACCTGTACTTTGTGGACAGGCCTGCCTACTGGTCTCTGCCTCCCTTCTGCAAGTGCATTACCAGTTTATGTTCCATTTCTAAGCTTGTACGAGACTATTGTCCACCTAACACTGGATGGACCTGCCCTGGGACCATGTGGATTCCGTCTCTATGACTAGTTGCATAACTATAATTGCATAACTAATTTGCTTTCGTAAACAGTTTATACAGTAACTTTTGAAATTTACCTTTTCTAGAAGACAACTCGGATTTTGTAACATTTAGGATGTCTAATTCCTCAATGTCCTTTCTTGCTACTGAATAACTGCAAGAGAATTGTTTAATTGGATTAAATATGCCACATTCATTTTCCCGAAGCTTCTCATTTTAAAAAAGTACACCTCTGTGTATACTCTTTCTTTGATACCATGCATTTGCACCAATTGTCATTTTTAAACAGCTGAACAAGTTATCCCAATGCTTAAATTTACTAAAGTTAACCTATGGGCAGGGACCATCCATCTATATGAAGATGTTTCTGCATGAATTAATGCAGGTGATGCAGTGCTTCTGTCTGAATAATCTGAAATACATGCCATACTACTGTATGACTCTCTTGCACCACTAATTAATGAGTTATAGGGATACATATTATAGTTGCAAGCCTTATCAGTAAAGGAACTAGAACTAGGTGAACAGTCCATGAGGTTGCAAGTTAAGAACACTGTATTTTCCAATGCAATCTTGTATCTGGTATGCAATAATTAAATACAGAAAGTAAAATATTATTCATTTTGTTTTCATTTGTGCCCTTTTTTCTGCCAAAAGGAATTCCAAAGCAGCAGACAGTAAGTGCAAAGCAATCAATGGAAAAACTTTGATACAGATACAAAAATGTCAATTATAATCTTTCATTCTAACAAGCAGTAGCTTTTATTGAACTGTAACTTATCTTCACTGATGAACCCAAAGGGCAGCTGTATTTAACTTTTGGTGACATGCATTTTTAAAAATTAAAAACAAAAATAAATCATTTGATAAAAAGCCAAGTACTGAAACAAAATTTTTACATGTGTCTCTATAAAGGACAGCATCCTTCAATGTATTTCCTTTCTTTACTTGCAGTCTCACAGTACGGAAGAGTTCAGATGTCCAGGCCAGGGAAATAACTGTTCACCTGAAGGCAGCTTCACCAAGCTAAGTACCCAAATACCAACAAGGAAGTAATAAGGTGCTCTGAGCATGGAAGTCAGCATCAATGTAACTTAATCTGACATAGCTAATCATCATCCTCTTCTTCATCAGCATAGTTCTTAAAAATTTTGTTGTTTTAAAAATAAGGCAAAAAGACAAATGTGAAATATCTTGTAACTGTCTTGGTAAGTCTGTACCCTTAATTGGTTCTTTTCCAATGGAAAGCCTTTCTGAAATGAGGGGTTGGGGCAAGAAGTCTTGCGAAAATTCCATCGCATATTGTATGAAGTAGGAAAAATATAAGCAGGAAATGGATTGTGAGTTTTCAACACACTTCCAAAATTATTTTGGTAGCTCCACAGCTAATAGCTTGCAGCTGAAAATTTGCATGCCACAAAGGCAAGATGGTGTTTTATATTAAACTTTAACACAAAATTGATCATCCTAGTGAAGAATGAAAGTCTTCCACAAGATTCATGCTTACCTTTTGGAATACCCTAATTAAGAATATCCTGTTAAATTTCATGATCACTGGTGGAATTTAGTCTGCTACCTTAATTATGTCCTTCCTGCATTTACTCTTGACAATAGGATTATGTAGAAAAGGTTCTGACTTTGGAGGAGGGCTAAGTTAAACCACTGAACTTTAACTTGTCAGTTGATTATGTATTTATTTTGCAACACACCAAACCTGAGAGATAGAGAGATGTCTAGAAAAACTACTCACAATTTGGAATCTGAAAAAGATCTCACTAAACACTGGTCCTTTTTCACTGCAATGTCATCGCTGCAGCTGGGAGATAAGACCTGAAGTTTCAAAAAGAACACATGGCATTGAGGATTTTTAAAAATTGCTCCTACTAAGGGGGTGGGGGGGGGAAAGGTTTCATACATCATGTTTCAGCTCTGTTATGGCAACTCCTAATAGCAGCATTTTATTTTCCAGAACAAATCCACTAGGTAATGACACTGTGGGGAGGTAATTTTTTCTTCCATCTCTCATAATGCTGGAGATCACCCAGTTAAAATAGCAGTAAGCTCAGGACAGAAAAAGCATTTCACACCATGAGCCATAAAGATACAAGAGGAAATAACAGCCTCAATATTATTTCTTTAAAAATTAGCAAATTCCTGGAGGACAGATGCCACATTGGTTATAATCTATGATGGCTAAATATAATCAGAGACCATATGCAATATATCAGATGCTGCCAACAAACTTGAGGAAAGGCCACCAGCTGTACAATTTATGTGGCATTTCGTTAGTTACTGTCAGAAAGGCAATGAGACCAAAAGGAGCCTGATCTGATCCCTAAAGGCAATTATTATGTTATTAAAGTATTGCGAACTTCCCACAAAACAAGACAGACAATCCAGTAAGTTTCCATCGTTAAAATCATGTGTATATAACAACTGCAGCCAAGATCTCTGCCTTTCCACCCGCACAACAAGCCCAACTATGAGATTACATATGCGTATGTACTCCCAAGATCAAACTTGCTCAGGTTCACACTTAAAAGAGGTTTGATTGGGGAAGGATCATAGCTCAGTGGCAGAGGACCTGCTCTGCATGCATCAGGTCTAATCCCAGCACTTCCAGGTAGGGCATGGAAAGACTGCCTGCATTAAACCCTGATGAGTCACTGCCAGTCAGTGTTGACAATACAGGGCTAGATAGGACAGCAACTTTCTATATTCTTGGTTATCCTGGTCAGCTTCTTCAGTGCCAAGCTCTTCATCAGAAATAATTTGTTAACCTTAAATGTGCACCAGTAGATTCAAGCCTATAAGTCTGAAAAGTGAAGCTTATTCATAGAGTAAAATCTTCCTACTTTATTGAGGGTGTTGTCGTTTGCCAGTCATGCATTCTAAATGCACACCAGCACCACATGATCGGGCAGCTCATTCCCACTGTTTTGAGAGGCTGAAAGGACTGTACTAAGTAAACCCTCGTCTCAGAAGAGGGGATGCATGCATGTTAAACAACACCGGGGGCTTTGGGAACTACTAAATATAGCTGCTTCCTGTGACAATGCCACAGAACCCTACTGCTTTTAAATCTTTAACTTCCTCCGATTTTGCACACATTATACATGCTCCTCCTCCTGCCCCCATCTTGAGGAACTCCATGCATTCCAGAGCATTTTCCCAATTAGGAAAGTTACACCAATAAGAAAAATTTCACTGCCATAAAGGCAGGAGCTCCAGGGATTAGCAATGCGCTATTGACAGTGATCCCTAAATCCTCACGCTTGTCTATTAATATACATATTTATATACAAATCCAGATATTTAACTAAAAGACTGACTCCCATTTGGCTCCCCTTCTCCTCAACTATCATCAGGCTGCAGCAGAAGGAGAGATAGAGAGTGGGTCCATTCCATCAGGCTGCTCTAGTTCCTGAACTATTTCTACTCAAACTGAGCACTTTAATAACAACTCTGTATATTTAAGAAATGGTGCCCAGGTTGGCTTGTTTTCCCTCCCCATCCCTTTCTTGCCTATTGTTTTGTGGCTTGCAAGCCTCCAGGTAGGACTTTTTTTTATAATGCACTTATATTCTGCTCTTCAGCTGAATAGGTTCTGTCTTGTTTTTAATCTGTCGCAAGTGACATAAATCATGATGATGATTAAAAAAAACCCAGTCCAAATGACTGCATAGTGAGCTCTGCAAATGCAAAAAAGGAAAATCCTAGTGCATGCATGCGTATTTTACATGTACCTAAAAGAGGAATCATAGTAAATCTAAATAAAAAGGCTGCTTTCACACAAAAAACCCACCTATGAAAAGAATGACCATGGCAAATCAAATGAGTAACACAATAAGATTTCATCTAAAGCTACATTTTCTCCAACTTAATCATGAGTCCGAAGGCTCAACCTAAACAGGTATATCTTCCTTCTGAAACATGCTAAGAAATGAAAGCGTTTGGGTGCCCACAATGCATGCTTGTTTTAGCTAAAAATAATTTATATGCCTAATTGCATTTGACGCGAACAGCATTCAAACCACGTGGGCATGCACACACAGAAACCACAATTGGGTTTCATCATGCTGAACTTTGTAGTATGCAGGAGGAGCAAAAGCTACGGAATTTTCCTTCAGAATCAGGTGGGAAAGATGAATCTCCCACTGGGTTGAGCAGGGTCCCCACCAGCCAAGTGGGATTTCAGGGACTTCTATTCAAAGTACTTAAATTATGCTAATGGGCAAGGTGGGAACTGGAGGAGGCAGCCATGAACTTATAGCAGGATCTCAGTGATGATGCAGATGTCATAGAAACAAGTTCCATAGGAAACTATGTTTTCCCCACCGAACGTATTTACCAGGAAGGTTTATATTCTATGTAGTATGTGCAGAGGAATAATAGTAAATCTAAATAAAAAAGGCTTTCACACAAAAAAACCACCTATGAAAAGAATGACCATGGCAAATCAAATGATCGCCGAAGAATTGATGCTTTTGAATTATGGTGCTGGAGGAGACTCTGGAGAGTCCCATGGACTGCAAGAAGATCAAACGCATCCATTCTTAAGGAAATCAGACCTGAGTGCTCACTGGAAGGACAGATCGTGAAGTTGAGGCTCCAATACTTTGGCCACCTCATGAGAAGAGAAGACTCCCTGGAAAAGACCCTGATGTTGGGAAAGATGGAGGGCACAAGGAGAAGGGGACGACAGAGGATGAGATGGATGGATAGTGTTCTCGAAGCTACAAACATGAGCCTGACCAAACTGCGGGAGGCGGTGGAAGACAGGAGTGCCTGGCATGCTCTGGTCCATGGGGTCACAAAGAGTCGGACACGACTAAACGACTAAACAACAACAACAACAGTATGTGCAGAACCTGCCTTTGTGCAGGAACTGATTGAGCAAGAGTTGAACTACCAAGAATGTAAAAAAACCACATTTTCAATATGGGCTTAATGCATTCATTTTTCTCCCCCCCCCAAAAAAAAGAAGCATTTCCTTAAACTTGGAGACCTAGGAGCATTATTTATTTATTGCTTTATTTATTGTCACCTTTCTTTGAACAAGATCTCAAAGCCGTTTTACACTCAAATCTGGTTTCAAAAGGCGTTTTGCCCTGTTGAAGTTCCTCCCCTTTGAAAAGCACCTGACTTTTGTCCCCTATTATAAAAGCCCCTAAATATTTCTCACTCACCAAAGCTGGATACCACTCAGCCTCCTCAGAGCTGGGAGTCACGCTGACAACTTTACCAAGCAATTCATCGTTAAGACGCCTCTTATCATCATCATCCTCTTCACTACTTTCTTCCTCTTTTTCATCTTCATTACTAGAGAGTTAAGCATACAGTGATTTTAGACAGCCCGAATGTGGAGATTAACAGGAGCACAAAACCTCGTCGCAGCCTTGATACCTCAACAGCTCTTGCTTTTCAACCTTCCTCCTTTTTGCGGGAAATGGCTTAACACAAAGCAGAATGCAGCAGGCTAAAGATTCGCCCTGTGCTGACATACGCGCATTGTGCTGTCGAGAGGTGCTGGGGCTAGAATCAAGAACTCTTGCATGTGTGGTGCTGCCATGGCTGCAAGCCAGAGGACTCATGGGGCTGGGCTCTGCCGTTATTCTCAAAAGTGTCTCAACCAACCCACGTAGCCTACCGGTCTCCTTACACCCGGAAGGATTCCAAGTCAGCATGGGCTTTACTTGGTGACCCAGCAAAGACAGCTTCTCTGTGTCCACAGTTAGTTCTGAAATTCAGCACTTCCAAGAATAAACCGCCAATATTTATTGTTGCCAGGGAAGCTTGAATCAAGGCTTGAATGGAGCTCGTTAAAACACTAGTCCTTCTTTTAAAGCACTTATGTGCTTCAACCTTATCTCCTCCTTGTCCTCTCTTATGCCCTTCTTGTTCTTTCCACTCAAGCTTATATTCTGCCAATTTTTGTCTTTTTCTACCACTCTCATATCCATGCCTTTTCTATTCTCGAAACAGCCTCCTCCCCTCTAACAAGCAAGCTAAAACAAGGCATGCATCTATCTAATTTTAATAAGGAAGATTTAAATGCAGATTGGCTTCCATTGCCTGTTACTTTAGGCATGCTTCTTCACATACATGCTTCTATATACTTCAGAACATTTTTATGTTGTTATTTTAGGCTTTGTCCTGAAATACAGCATGCATGTGTGTGTGTGTGTGTGTGTGTGTGTGTGTGTGCACATTTTAAAATTTACTGAGATTTAAAAACTGAAAGCCCTGTGTACCAAAAATAGTCCAGGTCCTACACCAGTATGCATACAAATTATTAAAAAGTGTGAAATAGTTTTGTATAATTAATTCAGCTTCTGTTAGTCCCTAAATGGCAAGGAGCTTTTGCAGGGTCCTGTCCTCTTATAACTCCAGCACATTTTCAAATCTGACTTCACAGCAATAGAAGGAAGAAAATTAAAGAAGAAATGGCTTCCAGGATGCAGAATTCCACGCAGCACTACACTTCTGCAGAATCCTAAAACCCAAGTTCCAGATGTTTCCTGTCACTGCGTTTCTCAGCCACTTCTGCAACTCCACCAAACAGCGAGATCTCCAAGGATATTTCAATGGGAAGTGTGCTTTCCATTTCAGAAGAGACTTGACGCAAGAAGGGAGACAGGAAGCCCAAGACATTTCTCCACCTCAGAAGCCATTTATGCACTTTGTCCAAAGGCTGTCACCTTCTGGACTGCATCAGAAGAAATGGGTAGCCTATCCTTCTGAGGAAACGTTGTCCTCTGAGTGGGGCATTTTTTGTGTTTTGTATGGTGAAAGGCAAATCTCTTGAAAATTAGGGGATTTCAGGAAACAGTGTGTGGTATGATTGTGGGTGGAAAGAAGGAAAGTAAAGTGTAATTGCACAACATTATGTTCCTTGCAAGGGAGGCACACTTCTTCTAAGCTCATCACTGAAGACCAAACCTGCCTTCCTCGCTCCAATGCAAGGGAAAGATTAGGTCTGAGAAAAGCCCAGTAATACTATTAGGAAAATAAGGCATCACAAAACACTCACACAGGAAGAGAGGATCTCCTTCCTCTGTTGGATTTCTTCCCAATCACCGGCGTTCCAAAGTGCTCTGGGTTTGTTAGTGGCAGTTGGTCAAGTGTCTGTGAGAGGAAGGGGAAAATATGACAACTTGCTAATTTTCCAGTTAAAACAAGAGTGTTAAGTTTACAGCTTCAGAGTGAAACAGCCTTACCTCACTTTCTGCAAAGTGCCTCTCTCCCTTCAGACACAACGATGTCCGTCTCAAAGTCCTTTCATCACCGTCATCAAAAACTAAACAAAGCCAAACCAATAAAATCACATAAAGGAAAAACCACTTTATTTGCGAAGGCCAGTAAATGGCAAGTGCAAATTATTCTTGTTATGTGAATATATTTAGTGCCCCCAATAGTCTCACTTTTGAGCTGCTGTTACACCATTGTTTGCATTCCATCTTACACATTTTTTGCTCATTTTTTCTTATGGAATATTCCGACTAGTGATGAAAGCTTTCTTGCAGTGGAACAGCATGTGAAGGACATATGCTTAGATGTTGTAAAGCCAGAGAGAAAGCACACATGTACAAACTGAAGATCAATATGCAACGATCACCTTAAGCAGCCAATTGGAAGCAATGCTTCACCATTCCAGCATAGTGCGACAGATCAATGCAATATAAATTTACAGCCAGCCAGTGTGGTATAGTGGTTAGAGTGTAGACTAGGTTTCAAATCCCCACTTCCCCATGACATTCACTGTGTGGCTTTGAGTCAGTCACTGACTTTCAGCCTAACCTAGCTCATAGGGTTGTTGTGGCATTAAATGAGGTGGAGGAGAACTGTGTATGCCACCCTGAAGTTCTTGGAGGAAACAGTGAAATATAAAAACTATAAATAAACATTAATTCTCCCAAGCATGCTGGGGTCAAAAATCACCTAAGCTTCAATGCATCATCATTCTTTTTTTTTAATGTTGCCGGCATAAAATTGCTTGATGCTTTTTTTATACAACCACTCAGGGTGGACCTACTGAAATTAACTGACATTACCAAATTAGACTCATTAATTTCAATGGGCCTACTCTGAGGAGAACTTGTTTGGATAAACTGCGTATCTATCTTGAGCTGAGCCAAGGGCTGCATCTCATACATAACTGTACATAGGGAATACAGGAGAGTGAATGTCAACTATCCAACTGCTGGAATCGCCTTTCCATCTTGACAGCCCCTAGAACAAGCATTTCAACTCCTAACTGAGTCCCTAACCTACATCCTACATCCTAGATGTTGCACTTTAAAACACACAGGCACCTCCTTTCAAAGCACAGGAATGCTCTTTACCAGAAAAGCAGCAACATGAACAAATCTACCACAGCCTAGGCTGCAATCCCCAACTGCCGGAGGTGGGGGAAGAGGAGAATGTGAACTGCAAAGAATGCCCACAATAAGGGCAATAGGGAAAAAAAGAATGGGGTGGGTGCTGAGGGTCAGGAACTTGGTTATGATCCAGTGGAAGAAACAGTGAAAAAACTGAGCCCTCTGGGCATTTCCTCAGTATTGCTGCACATTTGTTCAGGACTGAACAGAAACCACTTCCAGTTTCTAAGTTGTAGCAGCCAAGGCAATTGGCTTAAAGGTTAAGCAAGGATGGAAAATCTCTCTTCAGCAGCCACATGGGATTTTTTTTTCTGCCTAGGGGCAGAGGAAATGCACCACTGATCTTGGAATTGCATGATCCCTTCATTTAATCAAAGTCCCGATTTTTGACACGTGAAGAGCTGCTGGGGTGAAGTGTTATGTCACTGATGTTCCGAGCTGGTGCAGGGCTAAGTCTTCAAATCAGAAAGATTAGTTAAATGAAAGATAAGCCAAACAGTGTGTTAAATCTGCTTAGATCCTGCCTTGAAGGAGCTGCAGTCTACTTTGGGATCTCAAGGCTACTTCACACACTGAAATTGGAATCCGCACTATGAGTAAGCTGTGTGTTGCCAGGTAAATAACTTTCTCCCTATGCAGGTGTGACTCTTGGGAATGCCTCATAAGATGGAAGTGTTTTGCTAGTGACCCTCCTGCAGCAGCACCCCAAACAAACAACTCCCTGCTGCCACAACCTAACTTTCTAAGCAGAATTGGGTGTATCAAAAACCACTGATTTTTCTAAGGGCACAGGAAAGGATAATGGTGCATTATGATCAAGTCATAGAATCATAGAACTGTAGAGTTGGAAAGGGACACTGAGGGTCATCAAGTCTAACCCCCTCTAGACTAGAATGTTTCCTTACAGAGTAAACAAGAAAGATGTCAATGCAAATTCAACTTTTTTTAAATAAAGGATCAAAGTTGTTGGACTCTCAGCTCCCATCATCCTTTATCACTGGCTGTGCCGACTGCAGCCGACAGGACTTGGAGATCAACAACATCTGGAGAGCCACTGGATCCCCACCCCTGGTGCAGGTTATGAGGGCAAGGAGCCAAAAGGTAACCAAGCACCACCACTATATTCAAGCCAACATTTATTCAAATACTGGCTCTCATTTCACCTGAAAGCTTGTTCCCAGCTTGTTTCCCTCGTCTCAGCTGACAGCACAACACACCATACTAAACAAAAAAATTATACAGAATTAGAACACTTAGTTCTTCGAATATATGACTTTTAGATTTTTTTAAAAATTTAAGGTTTGGTTCTTTTTATGAATTAGAATAGTAAAGGATGAATGATGAGAAATACTGCCATTTCCTGAGTCAGACATATATGGAAAAAGCAACAGATCTAATCCTTTATCAGAAAGGATTTGAAATGTGGAGAGACATTCCTTTGATCACGGCTCCCATTGCTGGCTGTTTCTTTATGTGGGGTCCACACTGAGCAATGAGGAAAGGAAGAGGTGCTGGACCACTGGCTATCTGAATATGTGAATCTGGAGTCACGTCACACTTGGTCCCTCTATGTGCAGTTTATGGGCGACACAACATGCAGGGCCTGTTCCCTTGATCTGCCCATTACTACTGGAGACAGGTCACATGCCTGGGCTATTTTCAAACGTTACGCTTTGAGGAGAGGCAAGGACTGCACATATACAGCAGGGGTCATGTGTGTAGTAAAAACTGCTTCCGCACAGCCCTCCTTCTGCTGCAAGGAACTACAGGGTAGGAACCCATCACTCTTCTACTGCATCAGTTTTCCCTATTCCAGCCAGCACTCCAGAGACACTGCAGTAGAGAAAAGGAGTGCTTTCCAATGGTATTTAATCCACTTCTGTTTTAAAAAGGAAGTTCTACTTCTATCGGACATAGTGAAATCAAGCGACAGAAATTTAGTAATTTAGCATTATGTCACAGATATAGTATCTTCCACCCAATTAAATGTACCAGTCTCACTGGTACTGCGAAGAGGGTGTTCAAGCATCTGGTTCGAGCATTTTATTAAAAAAACACCGCACTTCCATTGTATCACCACCCACTCTTTCCTCCCAGCTAAGTATTCCTTGCTGTTCTAAATCTCCTTTCTTTTTAATCTACTTCACATGCAGCCTACTTCAAATTAAAGCCTCCCTGAGCATGACCTTTTCAATACACTTAACTGTTCTTAAAAGAGTACATTGTCAAGGAGCCATGAAAATTAAAGATTCCTAGAAGAACAACTGACAAGAGCTCAGCGCCGCTGTTTTGCTCTCTTATTAACTGCTAGTGCAGATCCAGCAGAATCCGGCCATATTTTTCCCACCAAAAAACACACATCAAAGATAGTAAATGCTACTCTGCTTCCAGGCTGCATCTTTACAATTTGCAAAGCACTTCATACCTATACACCTGTAAGCCAGCTCAGTAGCATCGCCATTTCTACAACATTTCCCTTACTGAAACATGCAAAATGGAAAGTGCAACAAAACACAGGAGAACAAGAAATGAGAGAACCGAATAAGCATTCTTATTAAACTTAATTGGTCCCCTTGTTTAGAAGTTTTATGATTCGAGCAAGAGTGGACAACGTAGTCCTCAACTACAATTCCCATCATCCCTGACCACTGACCATGCTGGCTAGGGCTAATAATAATAATATTATTAGCCACTCTGGGCGGCTTCCAACCGAATATTAAAAACAACACAGCGTCAGACATTAAAAATTCCCTAAACAGGGCCGCCTTCAGTTGTCTTTTAAAAGTAAAATACTGTATTTTTCGCTCTATAAGACGCACCAGACCATAAGACGCACCTAGTTTTGGAGGATGAAAACAAGAATTTTTTTCCCCTGAATCTCAGAAGCCAGAACAAGAAGAGGGATCGCTGCACAGCGAAAGCAGCGTTCCCTCTTGCTGTTCTGGCTTCTGGGATAGTTGCGCACACACATTTCCCCTTACTTTTTAGGAGGGAAAAAGTGAGTCTTATAGAGCAAAAAATACGGTAGTTGTTTATTGCCTTGACATCTGCTGGGAGGGCGTTCCACGGGACAGGTGCCACTACCAAGAAGGCCCTCTGCCTGGTTCCCCGTAACCTAACTTCTTGCAGCGAGGGAACAGTCAGAATGCCCTCGACGCTGGGCCTCAGTGATGGGAGCTAGTGCCCAAGGACACCTGGAGGGCACCAAGTTGGCAAGCCCTGAGATCTCAAAAGGACATTTTATTCTTATCACCATTTCTATACTGTACCACCAAGGCGCTCAAGGCTGTATAAAAGCACCCCCCATGGCACAAAACACACACAAAACCAAACAAACCCTCACACAATGACACACAAAATCCCCGCAGCAATGCTTTAAAGTAAGCTAGTCCAGTGTTTCCCAACCTTGGGCCTCCAGCTGTTTTTGGATTACAACTCCCATCATCCCAAGCTAGCAAGACCAGTGGTCAGGGATGATGGGAATTGTAGTTCAAAAACAGTTGGAGGCCCAAGGTTGGGAAACACTGAGCTAGTCTAAGAGACAGCAACTTGATCATAGTTAACATAGTTAGCTTTACGGTTAAGCAGGGTTTTAAACACAAATCTCCCTATTCCCAATTCAGCCTTCTAACCACTACAACACTCTGGTTTATGTGTGACAAGTAGGGGACATGGGTACACATTTCAGAAAAATGTTGAGTACACTCCTGACTACAACTATCAGTCCCATATAACAGATGATGAGACTGAGAGGCTGAGGGGACACCTTTCATGTTCATGGTTGAGGGAAGAACTGAATTCAATCTCTTCGAGTCTGAATCTGTTGCCTTCCAGAGGTTGTTGGGCTCCAGCTCCCATCTTTCCTGACCATTGGCCATTCTGGCTGGTGCTGATGCAAGTTGGGAGTCACCAACATCTGGGGGGGGATGGACGACAGCTCCCCCCTTCCTCTCCCATAGCGCTCACTTCAGACAAGCATGCAGCTGTAGCCCGTTATGCCTTCTAATAATCAGCAACGATTTTCCCCAAAGGTTAAAAAGTTGGATACGGCAAATTCATGCTGCAGAGAGAGGAGAGCTCCAAAATTGAAGCCCACTAACACAACTACCTCCTTAACAAGGAAGAAACAATCCAATTGCCACACAGAGTCTGAGGGCCGGTCTCTGGCAAAATTAAAAGACGTTTATCAATGTATGATAACACTGGTGCCCTGATAACAACAGCTGGCTTAAATGCTGGCTCCAGCTACCTGCAGTTAACAAGTGAAGGTTTGTTCTTAGTAAGGAACAAGCATTGCCTTCGCACCAGTCCAGTGTGAGGCAGGCCCAGAGGAGTTAACAGGTAGGCCTAAGATTTTCTTTTCCTTTAACAGTGTTTGCAGACTGAGAAAAAAGCAATTGACACGAATCTGCAACATTGAGTTAAAGGTGCTTAAGGTGTCAATAGCTCACTCCACATTTTGTAGCTTTCCCCCGTACCCTAACCATATGTAGTTTGACTGACTTATACTATGCAGCAGTTGCATCTGGTCAATACACTAACCCATGTTTTAAGGAAGGGTAAGCAAGATGGAGCCATCCGGGTGTTGTATGACTCCTAACTCCTCTCAGCCGCAGGCAGCGTGGCTAAAGGTCAGGGATTATAGGAGCTGTACCATCACATCTGGAAGGCACTATGTTGGCTACCCGTATTTTGAGAGATAGCAGCTTAAATTTCCATTCAGTTACTGTATAAAACTGCTTTCTGTCTGTCAGCAATTAGGAGACCTGTCAAATCTTTGATCAGTGGTCCTTATGGCTTTTATTCTCTCTTTCAATAATAAAGAACTATGAACTGCTTGCCTCCCTATCTGTCTTCCATTTCGGAGATTTTGCCACCCAAGTGCTCACAAGCAGGGGGTGAAGATGATCAATCACCCCTTATTTGGTATTTAAAGGTATATTGCTGCTGTCCATCTTGTGGTCATGAATTCCATTTGAACTATGTAAACGTTACTCCAAGTCAAGTGAGAGTGACCCAAATGTCAGCATCTCTTGCAGTGTGGAGGCTAGGCTGCGGCTAAAATAGAAAATTTAAGTTCCACAGATCTTGCAGCATTCATCTTTGGGCCAGAGCCAATATTTTTTAGAACTTGCTTACCAGAAGGAATGATTCTGGCTTGGATCCTAAGTTAGCCTTTTCCCAACCTTCTAAAACAGGTTTTCGGAGAGTGCAAGAGACTGCAGGCAGAAATCGAGGAAAGTCTTCTTCCCACTTCTGCCTGCAGAAGTATCACCTGAGCAGAAATCAACTCGAGGGAAGCTCCCACCAGCCACAACAAACTCTGAGACACTGATTTCCCCTTGCATACGTGTCACAACAAAAAGTGTGCATTCATTCCTCATTGCTTTCCTTAGCATTTTCTTACTCTCACTACAACCAAACCACCTTTGCTCAGGTGAAGACAATTATTCTTTGAGGCATTAGGCTACAATTCTATCCACATGCATTCCAGTTTAGGAGAAGAACCTAGGTATCCACCTGGAAACCAGACCAGCTGATAAATAGAGAAAATGCTGGTCTATTCAAGAAGCTACTGGCCCTGCTCAATATGACAGTAAACATGGACCAGAGTGAAATTAACCAAACCAGAACCTTCATATTCCACATAAAGCAGTGTCAGTATCTGCTTAAAGGCACACACACAAGTTAATTCCAGATGCAGGTAATATTTAAAGCATATCCCTGCAGCCGAGCAAAGTACAGATACACTTTCCTGGAGCTTTTGTAAAGGGGGACAAAAGCCAAACAATTTAACACATGAAACCTTGTGAAGTTTAGTTAATACATTAGGGCTTACCAAAACAAACTTTCCAGTTATGTCAATTTTCAATTCTTAATGCAGTGCTGGAAGCCGAAATTTGACTGCCACTACATTCTTGTCCTTGACACTTGCATGAAACAGCCCTAGAACACTTTTAAGCCATTCTTCCAGAGAATAATATTTACTCAAGAATTAAGTATGCAAAGGACTTGCAGAACTTCTTGAAAGAAGCAACTTACAAATAAGCCTTTGTTCAAATGGGATAAAGTTTGTTTAAAATCCATGCAGTTATCTCAACAACAATATATCGGGCATTCTAAACTTACAAATCCTCTTTATTAAAAACAACAACATTACAACTTAATTTAAAGTCCAGTGACAAATATTTAAAATACTGTTATGTTTTATTTTACAAGACACTGTTAACAATTCTCAGGTGGCAGAGGGCAATATGAATAAGTAAAGTTATCCAGTACCAGATCAGACCACGAACCCACTCAGTATGATCTACCATAACTGGCAGCAGTTCCCCAAAATCTTGGTCTCTCAGGCTAGGAACTCTTTACTCCTTCATCTCCCCAAGAATAAGAAGTGCTAGAGAAGGCATTTAGGGTCCCTGAAACAATTTCTAAGCTCCTGGGCCACAATTATCAGTCCAAAGGCACAGAAATGCAAACATGCCAAAACCAATTCTGCACTTTCTTTAAACTTTAGGAGTGATACTCAGGGCAGCCAAAGGAATTATGTTCTCCAATATTTTGTTGCTATGTAAACACAATTACACTTGAAAAACACTGTCATACAGCAAACTGTTCTCAGCTTGTTAACTTATTTTAACACAGAAGTTAAAAGAAAATCCACTGCCTTGGCCTTTACCCCTTCCAGAAGCCTTGCTAGTGCCACACAAATTACTAGTCTCTCTGCTCATACATACATATGTTTATCATTTGTGACCTACAAGGGGGAATCCCAAAAGGAATCCTTAGCCCCAATGACAAGAAGGCAAATGACTATTTATGAGGCTAAGTACAGCCATATCAGGAAATACAAAACTGTCAACAATCCATCGCTTCTCTTGTCTCTCCTATTCAAAAGTATGAAGGTACAGCCATTAAGTATGACACTAATGGAGGTGCTTAGTGTAGCTGGTAAAGATGAGCCCTAGGGAAGTAGTTTACACTTAACTTTTCTAAACTTGTGTGCTCACTTTATCCACATAGCCTGGTTTTTCCTAAGAGGCTGAGCTCCTAACTCAAAGCCTGGCATCCTCAGGCCAGGGGTGGGGAACCTGTAGCCCTCCAGATGTTGTTGGACAAACTCCCAACAACCCCAGCCAGCACAGCCAATTGTCGGGAATGATGGGAATAGTACTCTAGCAACATCTGGAGGACCAGAGGTTCTCCATCCCTTGCAAAACAGAGCTCCACATGAAGCATCCGTTGCTTAACCACACCATTTCAGTCTGCAGGCAGGATAAATCTAAAAATTGATAGTCTGGTACATTTCAGGGAGCTGTTTTTAGCATAATTGGGCATTTCTACAACGGACACACAAGGACAATCTGAAGTAGTACGGTCCATCTACCGATCATGGATTAACTCAACAACCATCAGATACATTTGATGTATCGCTTTTTAATGCTGAAGAGACCACTATGTAAGCAACATGGACCTTTTTTAGCCCAAGGGTCACATTCCCCTCTGGGCAACCTTATGGGAGCCACACGGCAATGACAGGCAGAGTGGAGGCAATACTAGGTGGAGCAATAAACGTGTTTTTTTGCTTCTGCAGAGTTGGTTAGTGTCTTCACACTCACACATCCCTCTCTATCCAAGAAAGCAAGTATTACTATCACCATCAGAGTTCAAGGACACATTACAGCCAGGCAAAAGGACTCATGCAGGGCTGGTGAGGGGTGTGGCTTGAAGTATTTTAATTGGCTCCATGTCCCCCCCCCCAAACTTCTTAATCATTGTTAAACATTTGCCAATATTCCTTCTATACAGACGCCCTATTTTATTGGGAAGTTTAAAAAGTCATAAGAGATCTGCTCAAAAACCACTGCGCATCTGGGGCAGAGAAGAAATTATGTATATCTTAGCGCCAGTGAAATCTACTTTGGCACAGAAATCTACTTACCTACAGTATACCAGCTTGCATCTGTCAGTTTACTGACAGTGGCCTCTTGAAACGATCCATCAGACATCTTGGTCTCAACAGTTGCACCAACCTATAATGTTAGAAATCACATTCAGTTCCTCATACAGATCAACACCCTAAATTTAAACCCAACAGTGCCTAAGTGTTCCTCAACCTTTTGACAACTAAGGCACTAGTTTTGCTCCCCTAGATTTGAATTTTACATGTACTTATTTTTTATTTGCTTTCAGAACGACAAGTCAGCACCCTGCATTTAAGTGTGGGATAGCTGCCTGTATACTTGCCTTCCTTTTGCCCATTCAGTCACAGTTAAGGGTGTGGTTCTTGCTGTGTGGGATTATCAGCTGCCGTGCAGGATGATACCACTGCTCATCAAGCAGCAGAGGGAATAATAGTTGTTTGCGAGCTTCCCACTTCACACAGAGAAATGGATGCACACTTTTTCCTTAGCAGACTTTGACTCTCTTCTCAGCAGTAAAGTCTTTCAAGACTAAAAAAGCTAATGCCCTTAGATGTTGCTTTTTATTTCAAAGGCACTTAAGTGCAAAGACTGTCTTCTGAAGTGGGACCTGGATGTGTTTCATTGTCAGCTGAATAGTCTGTACCATCATGGAACCAAGACTGAAAATTATCCCATGGAAGGCCAAGCGTTTGGACTCAGAAACTTTGTATCAAGTTTCTGAAGTGAGGAATGGTTACATAAACATTGCTCTGAAATATTCTACTTTATACAGTTTTCCTTTCGTAGATAATTTCTTCCTTCGTTTTTTGACTGAACTATTTGTAGATCTTCACTTTAATATTTCAGTGGAAAAAAATATATGCCTGAATCTGAGAACTAAAGTCAAACAGGAATGCTGCTGTCATTTGTCTTACTCTGAATCAGGCACTTAAATGCAGAGTTTTTTGAATTTACTGATAACTTTTGAAGAAAACATGCATACATACCCTTAAAGGTCCTTTCACTTGGTCATCTTGCACCAACTGTGTTGAATTATCCTGTTTTAAGATCACCTGCATATTTTGAGAGGGATTTTAAAGAAAACAATTTTACTTGCAAAAAGTTAAAAAATGCATGTCATTTATTGTGAGATTCAACATCAGCCCACTTGAGCAATGGACTTTCATGTGTGCACACACAAGGCTTTTATGCGCCAGTAGGTTGCTCCCTAAAGTATGCCCCAGCAGGTATGGGGACTTTCCAGATCCAACTGGGGGTAAGAGCAGAACGGGAGAAAGTGCACATTGCTGTGACATCGGATCTCACCCTATATGCCAGCATGCAGAGTAGAACATTATTCTAAGTAAGATTTTTCAAACATGGAAGTTTGCTTTTATTAAAAGCATTCAAATAAAACGGCAGCACAACTATGGAAGAAATTGCAAGAAATTTAATTTCACGTTATCAAATGGTATTTGTCTGGTTGCCAAGTCAGGTCAATAAATGATCTGGGGACGGGGGACTCTAGTGATGTTTCCTTAGTAAATCCATTTTTTACATACAGTGCAGTACAATGAAACTCTTGACACGAATCAAAGAAGAACACGTTTTAGCTGACTGAGGTTTATGCCACAATAACAGGACAATCATACACAGGATGTCCCATTATGGTCACTGGGACTTGAAAGTGGGCACAAGACTGCAGTCTAAATCTGTGAGTCTTTTGAAAGGTGCCATGAGACTATTAATTGTGAGGCAAAATACCAACATGATCATGGCTTCACATGCAACTGATCCATTAACTCAGATCCATTAGAGATTTGCTTTCTCTTGATCAATGACTGAGCAAATCACAATTCCTGCTACACCAGCAACTTAGCCATAAGTCTGTGTCTTTGATAGGACAGCAGATTACACCAATTAGAAAGCTCTCTTAACGATCCAGCGACTGTAGACCCGTGCACTCCATTGCTAGAAGATACCCTTAATGGAAACACTTCAGAAATGAATGTATTTTTAAAGCTGAATTTCTAGATATCATACAGGTGAAGCCTATGAAGGGCTCGCCTTAATCCTTACCCATTTCAGCACTTACAAAAAAAGCCCCATCAAATTTATAGTAAGCGCAAATTGTTATTGATTTTTCTTTTTTAAAACAAAACAAAACCCTGCTCTTCAGCAAAGATAGATTCCTAAAATGAACCTGCACACATCCAGGTTATTCCTGATTCTCTCCTCGACCCCAATGCCGTAACACTTATTTGGACCAGAAGAGAGAAAACAAGTGGGGTTTCTTACTGCTGGAAAATAAATGATGCTACCTTACATTTGGGCAAGCTTTTTATTTCAGCAGGGTGCCCTATTGGGCTGGGCTTCCTTAGCAGCAGGATGCATGCACTTTCATGCAGAAGTTCCCCGGGTCTCTAGCTAAAAGTATCTAAGGAAATAGGTGATGTGAAAGACCTGTGGCTAATGCACTGGCATTAGTGCTCTCTCTTACCTTGACTTTCACCAGCCTTTTTACTGTCTTAATTTTTGCCTCGCAGAAGGCACCCCGGTATTTGGCACTGACATCAGTCCCAACTGTCAGGTAGGCAGGCTCATCTGCTGCCTGAAGAGAGAGCAAAAAATGGTCAAAGGGTGGAAGCATTCAAGCACATTTCTCAAGGTTCAGATGGCACAATTTTAAGCTTAATCGTAACAAAACCACGATGAAAAACTTTTAAGTCTCCAGGAAGTAACTGACAGACTAAGACCTGCCACTGGCAATCATGGTGCAATACACACAGGTTTGCTCTGACCCAACAAGTCTTTAGAATCTATTGTGATTTATTTAGTTTATCCATTCAGAAAAAAACTCTAGTCACCAAAAAGAGAAATGACTTGGTTCTTGTGTTTTGCTTTTACTAAGATAGCATATAGATTAATCCAAATCTTTATACCATTTGTAATCTACTATTTGGACAGCAGCTTACAGTGACCAATACTTAACAGTACACACTGAAAACACTAAAAATAATCCTACAAGAATGTGTATTTCCGCAAGATGGATTGCATGCTCTGAAGTCTTTGAAGAAGTGCATGATACTCAAACATTGCAGTTGGAAACAAAAAAACTGACAGCTGCTGCTTCAGCCAATGGGTTTTAAGTCTTACTGGCCACAAGTGGTTTCTCAGGCAGACATACCAACAGTCAAACTTTTTGTTTCGGAATACATTTCTCATATACAGTTGAAAGAAAAAGAAACAAGCCCAATTGTTGTTTAATGAGGATAGAATGCAACACTAATTTTCCTTAGTTTTCTGTTCACTTTTTCCAAAAGCTGCACCCCCAAAAAAACAAGCACCTGGGTACAGAACAGCAGAGGTTAACAAAGTTTTAACTGCTGATACAACACTGGATCATTTGCCAGCTTAACAGCCCATTTATTAGAAAATACTTTAACAGCACATTTCAACAGGGCAGTTCCCAGGTAAGTGTGCATTAGATTGCAGCCTTAGTCCAACAATTAGGACTTAATTCATTAGAAAATAAGTATAAGGCAGTGTCTTATGTACTTTCACTTTGATCAACTTTGACCATACTTCTGTTCAATGAATTAGCATCATTGAATAGTGACCTTTTTAATGACAAGTAATAACTAACGAACAAGTAGCACTGAATGGTGATGTTTTTAACAGCAAGTAATAACTAGCGAACAATCTTACAACCCAGCAAATGAGTGGGCAGGGATACAATTTCACTTCTCATTCCCAATACACCGTAGTGGAAAACAGCAATTTCAACTTTTCAGAGAAACATTTGAAACACAATGTAAGCAAGAATTTTAGCACTGATGTTACTGATATATAAGTTCTTGAATGTAAAGAACCAGAAGAGGAATGCCTCATTTCTTTCCAGAGCTGGAAAGTAGCTTCCCAGTGAGTACACATAAGTAAAACAAAGGTCTCAACTTCAATTTCCAGCATCAGGTAGCATGAAACAGAAATGACCTCTGCCTGAGATAGTGGACAGCCAGTACTAGCCTAGATGAATCAATAATTTGACCTGGTATGAGGCAGCATCCTATTTTATGCTATTGTATTTCTATACTGTAATATTAAATTGTTCACTGGGTTTGCAGACAGGTTTAGCAAAAGGCAAGCTCCCTTAGCAGTGGCATATGAACCATATTTCACTAAATATGTATTCAACAGAATGATGTACTTTTAACATTGAAGGAAAATAATACACAATCATTGGCAGGATAGAGAACAGAAGAGAAGGGAAAACTGAGAAGTTGAGAAACAGATTTACCTTCATCTTTGAAGGTTATTTGAGGGATTCCAGCTCAAACGTTTTCTTTTTACCACAGTTGAAGAAAAATCTAGAAAACAAGGAGAAAATGGAAATATTCATACATGTAAATATAAAATAGTGACAGAAGTCAAGAGCAAGAAATTAAACTATGAAGTCAGTGGTCAATTATGAAAACACAATCCTCTCCTTAGTGTACACAACGAAGAACTTCTGCATCTGTAGAACACTCCCTCCAGGCCTCATACTGGCAAGGAGAAGGAAAGTGCTGAAAAGTAGCAAGCGGGCAAATTTGGAGTTCTGGTTGAGAAGTAGCTGATGCCGCTACCTTCTCTCTATTTCAGCTCCCTCTTGCTCATCTCTGCATCCCCCCGTCAGTAACTGTCATCCATCCTTTTCTCTTCAGCCTGTCAAGAAAATAAACTCTAAGGCCACGGAGAAGACATTCACTTAAAGGAAGCAAGAGGATGATCAAGAAACAGGAGCAATCCCAAGAAGCCAGGATCTTCAGCCCCCCTCTCTTAGCTTTCTTAAATCTGAAAAGACAGACAAGAATATATCTGAAGGTAAAAATGCTGCCTGGCAAAGGGGAGGCTGACAGGCCAGTCAAATGCAGACACACCCTCCATTTACGACTTCCAGCTTGATCCTCTGTATGTTTACTCAAAAGTATGTACTCAAGTGGGACTTGCACCCAAGGGTGCACAGGGCTGCAGCGAGTTGTCGGCAACATCCCCTCGACCGCTTAGCAAAACCACTCTTTTGCTTTTCCTGGCTGAAAAGCACCTCAGACCTTCTTCCCCCACCCCCTGCACTTAGTTCCCACTCCGATTCACATCCAGGCCTCGCTCGTAACAAGCCCCATTCCTTTTAAACGCACTTCCCCATATGCCGAAGCCCTCCTCCTTCCGCCCCCAAAACAAAATTCGTGCTGTGTTTTGGGAAACGCTTCTCGACTCCGAAAGGAAACACATCCCCCCCTTTCCCACCCACCCGATTAAAAAAAAAACTCACCCCTCTTCTAGGCCTTGGCCTCTGTGAACCCCCCTCGCCTCCCGGCCCACCCCGGCTGCCCCCCAAGACACAAGCCCCTCGGACCCCCAAACCAAGGCGATGGCAAGCCGGGGGGGGCAAGAACCCCTCCAACCCCCCCCCCTCCGAGGAAGGCCGAGGCAACTGAGGAAGGGCTTTCCTTCTGAGGGGGGAGAAGGGGAAAGAGAAGCCATGGGGAGGAGGCCCGCCCCGAGCTGAAGGGGGCCTCGTCCAGATGTGGCGGGGAAAGAGAGCCTGCTCAAAGTGTGGCAAGAGGAAGGGGGACTTGGCCGGTGTGTGGTGGCTCCTCCGTGAGGGGAAGCAGGCAGAAGGCGGCAGCGCTTCTCCGCCTCCCCGGTCAGGCGGAGGAGGAGGATCCCGCCCGGGCCTCCCGCACCCTCCGGAGGGGATCCCGAGTTCCAGCGCAGGGGTCCCCTGCCTTCCCTCCAAGCCCGGCCAGGCCCCCTCAGCCCCGCCACCAACTCACCGCCGACCAGGATCCGGCGGCGGCGGCTGCCCCGTTTCCTTCCTCCGGCGTAAGACGTGGGCGCGTCTCCGCCGTCCGACCCCGAGCAGGGAAGAAGCGGCGGCGGCTGAGGCGGCGAAGGACGACGACGACGACGACGGAGCGAGCGAGCGAGCGGCGGCGGCAGCGGGGAGGGAGGGAGGGAGGTGGGGAAGGAGGACGGGCCTGTGGTCTCGCGCCTCGGCTCCGCCTCTTCCCCGCCCCCGGCAGCCCGGGCTGCCTCTGGCTCGCGCGCTCTGGCTCCCTGACGGGCTGCTGCTGCTGCCTTGCGCGGCTCAACACCCAAATAACAAGCTGTTGAGCAGGATCTGCGCGGCGCGGCCTCCCATTGGCTCCTCCCCTCGCGGGGCCCCCTCCCCGCCCGTGACGCTCGAGGGGGCGCTCTGCCCCGCCCGGATCGGGCGCCGCGCGTAGCTCCCGCCTTTCATTGGACTGCGGAAGGGCAGCTCTCCGCGACGCGATTGGGCGGCCGCTTTCCTCCGCCCCCGCCTTCTTCTTCTTCGTTTCCCCGCCCCTCCACCATCATCCAAGACTTTTCATTGGTCCAAACCGAGGAAGGGCGAAGCGCCGTTGGACGGCCGGGGGCTTAAAAAAGGAGTTAAGTCAAAGTTTCCACCCGCCCCGCCTCCCTGGGCTGAGAAGGGGAAGCGAGCGAGAGGCCTGCAGGGGCCGGATGTGAAGCGCCGCGAGGCGATTGGAGGAGGACTTGGCGGGGCAGGAATCTGAGGAGCGGGTGGGCGGGGCGGGGGAAAATGAGGAGGAGGAATGGCGAGAGGTGATTGGCTGCCCGCGCCTGTCTCATGGAAACGGAAAGGTGGAGGGCGGGGCCAACAGAAGCTTGCGGAGGCGGCGAAGGGAAAGCCGAGTCCTAACGCGCATGCGTCCTCCGGCCGTCAGGGTTTCATTATTTTTTTCCTCCCCATCGCCTTCGCCCGGCGCCATTTTGTGCGCTCTTCAGTCACGTCTCGGTCCCATTTCGTTGAGAGGGCTGGAGGTGAAGGGGTGCTGAGGAGCGGCTCCGGCGGAGGCCTGAGGTAAACGAAGTCGAGGTAGGTGTGGGTGCGGTGAGGCCTTTTAATGTGTGTGGCGGGGGAGAATGCGACCTCCGTCCGTTGGCTTAAAAACAGCCGTATTTTGTGTGGAGAACGTCGAGGGGCGAGGAGGGCCGCGAACCCCGCGACCGTTACCGCGGAAAACTGCCTCAACGGGCCGAGGTAAACGTAGCGGGGCGGGGCTGCGGACCGGAAGCCGAGTGTGACGTCAGGAGTTGCGCAGCCGCCAATAAGTGGGCGGGGCTTCCTCTTCCGGGTTTCCCTCCTCGCTCTTCCTTTTGATAGACCAGGGGAGTGAAGTTTACCCCCGCGAGGATCTGGGACGCAGCATATTTTTTTCCCACCCTCGTATTTCTTGAAAGTGCTTAATGGCTGTACCTTCCTCGTGAAAAGGGCCTTGTCGTAGCCCTTCTATAACGCTTTCAATTTTTGTTGCTCCAGTAGCTACCTGCAAACGCCCGACCATCCCGCAGCGCCGCAGGAACACTTTTTATGGAGAGGGATATGCATTTGTGGATCAGGGGCGCCGTCCTGAGATCCTGCCAGAGATCTGCGCATGGAGGCTGTCCATAAAGCAGCTGGGCCCTGCTCCATTGTGCTTAAACCCCCGCTGGCTGTTAGCTTACGCTCCGCAATCCATGTATGTCTGCACCTTTCAACCTAGAATAGTACTTCTGTTGTCTGATGAAAAGGGGCTCTAGCCCACAAAAAGCTTCGGCTGTTGCCTTTCTTCAACTGTGCTGAATTAAAACATTTTCTATTAAAAGACTAGCTTGACTTCCTCTTCAGGATTAATGTTGTGTATTAGCTTTAATAGCACTCTCCTAGTCATGTTTACTCATAAGTATGTGTGGAGCCGAAAAATTGTCCCAAGCAAAGGACTACTCTCAAGTCTAAATGCTGTGTGCTTCTCTCTCCCTGCTATCCCATACAAAGGGCATCCTTTTTTAAAAAAAAAATCCCAGACATCCTCTGTTTTTTTAAAATCATAAGTCATTTATGGTAGTCTGAACAGAAGATCTGCAAAAGTCCTCCCACTTTGTTGTCAAAAGGACAATTCTTTATAAACGTGAAGAAGAATTAGGAATTTTGTGCTGTCCATCAACTTGCCAAGGGATGAAAAGAAGGTAGCTTCATAAGAGTGCTTTTTTGTAATCAGTAGAGTGGAAACTTCTGCCATGATTATGAGTAGAGCTTTTTACTGAGGATTACAAGAGAATAAAATAAAATTTCACGAGGGCCTTGCAAATACTAACTCTTGTCTTAGGATTCTTAAATCACTTCAGCCCATCTTTTATGTGCTTGTACGCTTTGCACTCCAGATGTCCTTATGAATTCACTGGTTGTTCAGGATGGTAATTATGGAACTAGGGGCAGTGTTCGAAACTCCCATTGTTCTAGGCACATTTTGCGACAGAATTTCATAATCGCAAGCAGGTTCTGAGCTCTGGGCACAGTATTGTGCCTAAGATTTCAGATTAAAACTTTGTATTTCCAGCAGTTTGAACTCCGCATCTTGTACCCCCCTTTCAAGAAGCACTTGTTTGATATTTGCAGGGGGAGGTATGCCGGCACCTCCTTCACAGTATTTAAATTGTTTCAGTTAAGAAGGATTTGCATATTTGCAAACAACAGAATTTTACACCAGTTTTCAAATCAACACAAAATTGAACGGTTGTGACATTTACAGAGCATGAGGTAGATATTCATCATGCTTTAGGCCGCATAGTCATCTTGTCATCTGTGACACACAAGTTGGAATGGGGTGGGGAGAGGATGTCCTTCCTCCTTTGTAATTTATCTTAATTTTGCCACCTGTGGCTAACTTGCTAGGTTTTCCATCTGCAGGTTGGATACAGAAAATACAGGACTATTCATGAGAATTTTAAGCAGGGCTCCACAAATTATTGCTGGCCATAGTAGTGAGCTATTTGTATTGGCCACTGGCTCCTCTCCTACACAGAATCCTCTGGCACACATGGGGAAGAGCTGGGTCAGCTTTTCACTTACCCTGGTCTTTCAATACACTAGGAAATAGCAAGAGAGATGCTTGCTATATCTTCTAAATGAGGTACTAAAAGAGGCAGGCTCCTTCTTTGTGTGTTGCAGAGAACTTGGGGAGAGAGAGAGAGAGAGAGAGAGAGAGAGAGAGAGAGAGAGAGTAATCTCTCTTTCCAACCTGTTATGAAGAAAGAGTCCTCCCCTCGGGTTGTCTGCAAATCATGCAATAATTTGAGAAATGAGGTACTGTATCTTGCTTTGTCCAGGACATCTAGGAATTGCCAGAAAGAGAGACCATTAGTAACTGCTGGTCACGCCTGACTGTATTTATGGATGCTTGCACTTAACTACCCAGGACAGTGGTTTTCAAACAGTAGGGCAGTCTCCCTTTAGCACGTGGAAAGAGAATTCAAAGTCAAAAAGAGATAGAACCTTAAGCCATGTAGAACCTTCCTCTCTAGCAGGCTAAGACATGATGGGCTGAACACCCCAGCATAAAATCTTCATTGATTCATACTGAGTTTAAGTGGATGAGTGAGCGGCCACCTAATTTGGCAGGAACTTCTCCCCTTTTCTGAAACTGTTACCTTGTTGGAATAGTGTCCCACATGCAAAGACCTTTGCGTGCCATGAGCAGAGTGTTGGTTCTGATTTGACAAGGGGGATAATAGGACAGAATTGATTGAGAAGGGGGTGACAAGCTCATACTGAGCTGGGGCCTATAATCTCTTGCACAAAATGCTGACACTTTGTATCTCTTATTCCAGCAGCAATTTCTTTCTTTGAAACTTAACCCAATGAGGCATCAGAGGGACGTGTTCAGCATGGTGATGACAAATAAACTTGGAGCACCTTGCAAAGGACCCTGTGGTGCCAAAAGCCATGGGGTGGAGGATGCTGCTGCCGTTGTGAAGCTGGGCTATCTAGCTCAAGAGGAAGATAATCCGCACGGAACATAGGATGAGTGGGACAGCTGTGCGAGGGCAGCTGCACTTCATATGTTGATGCCGGAGACAAGATGGCTGTAAACTACGTCTGAGACGGTGGGTCTTAACACTGGCTCTGAATAGTTGATCCCGACACAAACAGTACAGTGTATATTTTGCATTGTAATTGCAGTTGGGAGAGGAAACACAGCTGCACTGTGGGTAGACCGAATACTCCAGCCATAGACGTTGCCTGCTAGTAGACTGCTATTATTAAAGTGATCCTGCTAGGGTGATGGGTGGGAAATGGGTGTGAACTTCAATCCTTACAGAATATGAAAATAATAAAGACCAAACTATCACAAGATTGGGACGCGGGTGGTGCTGTGGGTTAAACCACAGAGCCTAGGACTTGCCGATCAGAAGGTTGGCGGTTCGAATCCCGACGGGGTGAGCTCCTGTTGCTCTGTCCCTGCTCCTGCCAACCTAGTAGTTTGAAAGAATGTCAAAGTGCAAGTAGATAAATAGGTACTGCTCCGGCAGGAAGGTAAATGGCGTTTCCGTGCGCTGCTCTGGTTTGCCAGAAGCGGCTTAGTCATGCTGGCCACATAACCTGGAAGATGTACGCCGGCTCCCTCGGCCAATAAAGCGAGATGAGCGCCCCAACCCCAGAGTCGGTCACTACTGGACCTAATGGTCAGGGGTCCCTTTACCTTTTTTATCACAAGATTATTCTGTATCTTTGCAAAATAAACTTGGCCATGTACAGATATTGTGATGATGACCATTAACTATGTATCACATTGCAAACTAGTACTTCATATCGTAGCTCACATGCTGTCCTTTATGTGGTGAATGCTGTTTGATGTCTCTGTTGGGAGACTCAGTTCTGATGCTTTTGTTTTTGTTACGCATGAGCTGTTAAGCAATTAGGGCTTGACTTAGTGATGTTATTTGTTCTAGCGTGTATCTGAATAGGTCTTCATAAACCTGGGAACCAAGAAGGGAAGGAAATGGATGTAGCTCCATTTTTATTTTCCTCTTCTGTTTTGCCTTTTGTCCCAGTTCTTAAATGAAACCAGTTGTGAGTGTCTGATTTTATTTTAGGGAGGGGGAAGCTAGCTGGGTTGTACACTTCAAAGGAAGTAATTATCCTTAGAAGCTCAGATGTTCAACTTGGGCAGTTGCCACTGTAGGTTTATTAGAAAGAAACCTTGGACATTGTACTAACTCACAGAGTTTGTGGTACAGAAAGTGGCTACAGCTGAATACACAAATCCATGCTATTAACATATGTGTAAAGGTTGTTGTTTTTTTAAGAAGCACAGTTAACACAATGGGA